GCAGGCAGGCTCCACCAGGAAAAAAAGAAAAGAAAAAAGCAGAGAGGGCACCGATCCTTGTTTTTCCCCCAGAGCCTGCCAGAATCTCCCACGCCTGGGGAATGAGCTGCCAGAGGGCTGAATGGTGCCTAAGCTTCAGGGGGGCCTGGTTCTTCCCTCCATGATAGCAGCACTCCCGGGACCACCTAGGTGGGCTGCTAGAGGGTGGGTGCTGCCCAGGGGGGGTTCTGCCATTGCAGAGGGAAGGACCGGGCTGCCCCCGCAGCTCAGGGTCTGCCAGCAACTCACTTCCTGGCTGCTGGAGAGGCAAGCAGGCTCCAGGAGTTAAAATAAATAAATAAATAAAATAATCAGGCCCCTAGCCTCTGTTTTTCGCCACTGTTTTTTTTCTTCCCCCTTCAGTGGAACCTGCCTGCGTGAGCTGCTGCTGAGTTGCACAGCCCCTGAGCTGGCCTGGTGCTTCCCTCCACAGTGGTGGCACCCCCTGGGACTGCCCAGTCAGGGTGTGGTAGTGGGTGGGTATCGCCAGGGCGGCACCACTGCCAAGGAGGGAAGCTCTAGGGTCCCCCGCAGCTCAGGGGTCACTTGGCCTGTTTGCAGCTTGCACCCCGGCTGCAGAAGAGGCAGGTAGGCTCCAGTACCCTGTGCACCATCCCTGCTGCCTTCCCACCACCTGGGATCACCCAGGAATGGGCTGGTTTGCCCCTGGGGCAGTGCGACAAGGGGCAGCTAGGTGTGCTAGCGGCGAAAAAAAGACAGTGGGCACAGTGCACAGGGCGCTGGAAACCTGCCAAGCTCAAGCTTCCCTGAGCAAGTCTGGGCTTCCAGCACCCTATGCACCATTGCAATTTATGTAGCAAACTAAAATACATTGGATGGGTTTTACCTGGCTACATAACAAGGTAATTTAAAATGAAATATACCACCACAGGTGTAAACAGTGATGCCATTAAAATGGTGCAAAAGGGCAATTAAGCTGCTTGAAAGGCCAATTTTGTCACACATACAAGCACCCTTGCACTCAAATTATATAAATCTATGGTTTCAGGTCTCAAAGTCGCACTCACACACCCTGGTGAGTAGAAAGGATGAAAGCTATCACACAACTACACAAAAATACATGTTATACACAACAAAATAACCTCAAGAAAGCTATGTAATTAGACAATTGTAGAAAGGAGTGATTTGTAATGTACACAGCTTAACACCAAGGCTAGTGACAGACATTACACATAAACCGCTTAAGGGATCAGAAACTGGTTTAAACCTGTAACAGAACATAAGTTCAGTGCACATAAACCAGTTTCAAAATGGCTGAAACTGGTTTAAGATAAACCTGGTTGAATGTAATATCAGACTTAACTGATTTGTGTCAAACCGGTTTATGCAATGTCAGAAGGGCCAGCTTCAATGAGACTAGTGGGGGAGGCACTGAGAGCCCAGAAGGTAGAGATGGGAGTCCACCAGGGATGGTCGTACCTTAAGGGGGTGATCCTCCAGGCCCAAAGGATAACAGTCCCTGAGAGAAGCAAGGCGGGTAAGAGTGCTCAGAAACCCACTTGGCTCAGCAAGGGCATTCAGCAATGCCTGAGGACTAAAAGGGGGGTGTACAACCAGTGGAAGGGAGGAGTTATCACCAAGGAGGAGTATTCCTCCTCAGCCCGTGAGTGTAGGAGGGCTATTAGGAAGGCCAAGGCAGAGATGGAACTCAGGCTAGCGTCCAGGATTAAGGACAACAAAAAGTCCTTTTTAAAGTACGTTGGGAGCAAGAAGAGGGCACCAGGCAATGTAGGCCCCCTGTAAGACACAAACGGTAATCTTGTGGCTATGCCAGACAAGAAAGCTGATATTTTTAACAGTTTCTTTGCCTCTGTTTTCTTGAACAGGGACCCGGACAATCTTGGGGATAGCTCTGTCAGGCCTTCAGTCAGTGCAGATGTAGTTAGGGATCTCCTGGAAGGGCTAGACATTTTTAAATCTGCAGGTCCAGATGCCCTCCACCCAAGGGTGTTGAGGGAGCTGGCAGGGGTCATTGCAGAGCCCTTGGCCCAGCTGTATGAGCATTCGTGGTCATCTGGCCAGGTGCCAGGGGATTGAAAACTGGCTAATGGTCCCAATTTTCAAGAAAGGGAGGAAGGAGGACCCAAGCAACTATAGGCCCATAAGCCTCACCTTGGTGCTCGGGAAGATCTTGGAGAGAATCCTCAAGGAGCACATCTGTGGGGGGCCTGCAGGGGAGATCATGCTGAGGGGCAATCTGCATGGGTTCATCAAAGGCAGATCTTGTGAGGTCCCTTCCAAAGCCCCAATGATCTTGTGAGGTCCCTTCCAGCCCCTAACATCTATCAATCCCTGCTTTATGGTTCAGAAATGCAGACTACATATGCTAGGCACATCAAGAGAGTGAACAGCTTCCACATAAGATGCCTGCATAAGATCCTGAAAATCAAGTGGGAAGACAAAATACCAAACACAGAGGTGCTGGAGCATGCAGGACTGACACACTTAGAAACCACTTTCAAGAAGAGGCAGTTGTGATGGCTTGGCAATGCCATGAGAATGGGAAGAGACCATATCTCCAAAAATATTTTGTATAGTGAGATTCAAGATGGCTCAAAAATGGGGTCACCCTTTATGGAGTTACCATGATATATGTAAAAATGATATGAAGTCATTCAAAATCAATGTAGAAAGCTGGGAGGAGTACACAGCATCCTATCTGATCTGGAAGGAACATCTGGTACTGGGTGAACCCAACTTGAACCTGCTTTGATCCAGAGGATGGAAGCAAAGTGAGAAAGAAGAAAGTGGCACGCTGTAAATTTGGACTCCAACTCAGACAACACATGGATCTGTAACAAGCTTGTGCTGCTCTCGAATTGGGCACCTGACTAGACCTCTTATGTGTACACCATGATCCAGAGAAACGACAGTTGCCTACTCTGAAGAAACAACAACTTAGTGTAACAAGAACTTTGGCTGATTGGGTCAGCAGGATTTGAATTTGTTCTGTATCAAATCAGGTAACCGGAACTTAGACTAGACATTAGGAAGAACTTCTTCACAGTTAGAGTGGCCAAAGTCTGGAATGGGCTCCCAAGCGAGGTGGTGCTCTCCCCTACCCTGGAGGTCTTCAAGAGGAGGTTAGATAACCATCTAGCTGGGGTCATCTAAACCCAGCACTCTTTCCTGCCTATGCAGGGGGTCGGACTCGATCTATTGAGGTCCCTTCCGACCCTAACATC